CTGACGGCACCCATTCACTGCAGAGCATCCATTGGTGAGCAAGTGATGTAATGCTAAATGTTTCCAAATCTGTTCCCATGAACAAACACACTTATCTACATCTTGGTTGACCATAGGGTGAGCAAATTTTTAACACATTTTAAGTTTTGGGTGAACTATTCCTTTAAATGATGATACGGTGTATCACTATATCACTTTATACGCATAAAGATGATGGTTATATATTCTGAACAAGCGACAGACTTCATTTCTGGCCAAAAAAAGTATTACCATAGTGACTGTTGTCACTTTTAAGACTTTAAACTTGCATACAAAACGATGAAAATTTTATAGGCCATCGAAATCTCATCAAAAATGTGTATAGTCACATAACATCCACTTTGCGGATACAAGGAAAAACAGAACATTCTTCCTCACAAGTCAAATACATAACCAGTTCGCTCTCATTAAACTCAGATGATTTACATAATGTTCGCTGTTTGTTTGACATGCAGAAAACAATAACGAGCAGTGTGATGCTGAGCATCTGACATGCAGAAGTTTCTCCACACATCAGCTCTCAGCCTTTAATTACAAAGCTCTCTTGATACATAGTTAATTTTGATTTCCGTCAGAGCAAAGCAACATGATTGTAAACAAGAAATACACAGTCCATTCAGAGCAGGTCATGGGAATCATTATGTCATTCTTTCAATACATTACAGAAGCTAAGTTATTAACTGTGCCTTTGTGTCTGTTTTTTTAAAGTGCTCTGAGAGAGTTGCTGTAAAACAAAATATTATATTCTCAGGTCATTTTTAGATAACTGACATAAAAAGAAAGATGTGAACTTGAAAATGGACATTACATGCTATATTGACAGTCACTCACTGTGATAGAAGAATCGACTTCTCTGTCTCCCCTCAGTGGCCAGACTTTGTCCACTTCAGAAGATCTGAATCACACGAAAATAGCAGAGACTGAGATTTGGTATGTTCTTACATTCATGTTTTATAATGTATGCAGCCTAACTTATTTTCATTTATTTTCAAAGCATTTTCCAGTCTAGCTGAGCTACAGTATTACAGACAAAATTTCGAAATATTCCAGATTTGAATATTAATATGAAATTCTATTGCTAGTGTTTATAAAAGTATGATTCGATTTAGTATGGTTGACGTTGTTATTATGTTTAATATAAAATAATACGATCTAAAATAATTAAATGCTGTTTTTGTTTATGCATTACGCACGCCCATATGCACGCTAATATCATTAACACGACGTGTTTAATGCAAAACGAGCGACTGAAGGGTTGGAGAGAGAGAGGGAGAGAGAGAGGGAGGGAGAGGGAGAGGGAGAGAGAGAGAGAGAGAGAGAGAGAGGGAGGGAGAGGGAGAGGGAGAGAGAGAGAGAGAGAGAGAGAGAGGGAGGGAGAGGGAGAGGGAGAGAGAGAGAGAGAGAGAGAGAGAGGGAGGGAGAGGGAGAGGGAGAGAGAGAGAGAGAGAGAGAGAGAGGGAGGGAGAGGGAGAGGGAGAGAGAGAGAGAGAGAGAGAGAGAGGGAGGGAGAGGGAGAGGGAGAGAGAGAGAGAGAGAGAGAGAGAGGGAGGGAGAGGGAGAGGGAGAGAGAGAGAGAGAGAGAGAGAGAGGGAGGGAGAGGGAGAGGGAGAGAGAGAGAGAGAGAGAGAGAGAGGGAGGGAGAGGGAGAGGGAGAGAGAGAGAGAGAGAGAGAGAGAGGGAGGGAGAGGGAGAGGGAGAGAGAGAGAGAGAGAGAGAGAGAGGGAGGGAGAGGGAGAGGGAGAGAGAGAGAGAGAGAGAGAGAGAGGGAGGGAGAGGGAGAGGGAGAGAGAGAGAGAGAGAGAGAGAGAGGGAGGGAGAGGGAGAGGGAGAGAGAGAGAGAGAGAGAGAGAGAGGGAGGGAGAGGGAGAGGGAGAGAGAGAGAGAGAGAGAGAGAGAGGGAGGGAGAGGGAGAGGGAGAGAGAGAGAGAGAGAGAGAGAGAGGGAGGGAGAGGGAGAGGGAGAGAGAGAGAGAGAGAGAGAGAGAGGGAGGGAGAGGGAGAGGGAGAGAGAGAGAGAGAGAGAGAGAGAGGGAGGGAGAGGGAGAGGGAGAGAGAGAGAGAGAGAGAGAGAGAGGGAGGGAGAGGGAGAGGGAGAGAGAGAGAGAGAGAGAGAGAGAGGGAGGGAGAGGGAGAGGGAGAGAGAGAGAGAGAGAGAGAGAGAGGGAGGGAGAGGGAGAGGGAGAGAGAGAGAGAGAGAGAGAGAGAGGGAGGGAGAGGGAGAGGGAGAGAGAGAGAGAGAGAGAGAGAGAGGGAGGGAGAGGGAGAGGGAGAGAGAGAGAGAGAGAGAGAGAGAGGGAGGGAGAGGGAGAGGGAGAGAGAGAGAGAGAGAGAGAGAGAGGGAGGGAGAGGGAGAGGGAGAGAGAGAGAGAGAGAGAGAGAGAGGGAGGGAGAGGGAGAGGGAGAGAGAGAGAGAGAGAGAGAGAGAGGGAGGGAGAGGGAGAGGGAGAGAGAGAGAGAGAGAGAGAGAGAGGGAGGGAGAGGGAGAGGGAGAGAGAGAGAGAGAGAGAGAGAGAGGGAGGGAGAGGGAGAGGGAGAGAGAGAGAGAGAGAGAGAGAGAGGGAGGGAGAGGGAGAGGGAGAGAGAGAGAGAGAGAGAGAGAGAGGGAGGGAGAGGGAGAGGGAGAGAGAGAGAGAGAGAGAGAGAGAGGGAGGGAGAGGGAGAGGGAGAGAGAGAGAGAGAGAGAGAGAGAGGGAGGGAGAGGGAGAGGGAGAGAGAGAGAGAGAGAGAGAGAGAGGGAGGGAGAGGGAGAGGGAGAGAGAGAGAGAGAGAGAGAGAGAGGGAGGGAGAGGGAGAGGGAGAGAGAGAGAGAGAGAGAGAGAGAGGGAGGGAGAGGGAGAGGGAGAGAGAGAGAGAGAGAGAGAGAGAGGGAGGGAGAGGGAGAGGGAGAGAGAGAGAGAGAGAGAGAGAGAGGGAGGGAGAGGGAGAGGGAGAGAGAGAGAGAGAGAGAGAGAGAGGGAGGGAGAGGGAGAGGGAGAGAGAGAGAGAGAGAGAGAGAGAGGGAGGGAGAGGGAGAGGGAGAGAGAGAGAGAGAGAGAGAGAGAGGGAGGGAGAGGGAGAGGGAGAGAGAGAGAGAGAGAGAGAGAGAGGGAGGGAGAGGGAGAGGGAGAGAGAGAGAGAGAGAGAGAGAGAGGGAGGGAGAGGGAGAGGGAGAGAGAGAGAGAGAGAGAGAGAGAGGGAGGGAGAGGGAGAGGGAGAGAGAGAGAGAGAGAGAGAGAGAGGGAGGGAGAGGGAGAGGGAGAGAGAGAGAGAGAGAGAGAGAGAGGGAGGGAGAGGGAGAGGGAGAGAGAGAGAGAGAGAGAGAGAGAGGGAGGGAGAGGGAGAGGGAGAGAGAGAGAGAGAGAGAGAGAGAGGGAGGGAGAGGGAGAGGGAGAGAGAGAGAGAGAGAGAGAGAGAGGGAGGGAGAGGGAGAGGGAGAGAGAGAGAGAGAGAGAGAGAGAGGGAGGGAGAGGGAGAGGGAGAGAGAGAGAGAGAGAGAGAGAGAGGGAGGGAGAGGGAGAGGGAGAGAGAGAGAGAGAGAGAGAGAGAGGGAGGGAGAGGGAGAGGGAGAGAGAGAGAGAGAGAGAGAGAGAGGGAGGGAGAGGGAGAGGGAGAGAGAGAGAGAGAGAGAGAGAGAGGGAGGGAGAGGGAGAGGGAGAGAGAGAGAGAGAGAGAGAGAGAGGGAGGGAGAGGGAGAGGGAGAGAGAGAGAGAGAGAGAGAGAGAGGGAGGGAGAGGGAGAGGGAGAGAGAGAGAGAGAGAGAGAGAGAGGGAGGGAGAGGGAGAGGGAGAGAGAGAGAGAGAGAGAGAGAGAGGGAGGGAGAGGGAGAGGGAGAGAGAGAGAGAGAGAGAGAGAGAGGGAGGGAGAGGGAGAGGGAGAGAGAGAGAGAGAGAGAGAGAGAGGGAGGGAGAGGGAGAGGGAGAGAGAGAGAGAGAGAGAGAGAGAGGGAGGGAGAGGGAGAGGGAGAGAGAGAGAGAGAGAGAGAGAGAGGGAGGGAGAGGGAGAGGGAGAGAGAGAGAGAGAGAGAGAGAGAGGGAGGGAGAGGGAGAGGGAGAGAGAGAGAGAGAGAGAGAGAGAGGGAGGGAGAGGGAGAGGGAGAGAGAGAGAGAGAGAGAGAGAGAGGGAGGGAGAGGGAGAGGGAGAGAGAGAGAGAGAGAGAGAGAGAGGGAGGGAGAGGGAGAGGGAGAGAGAGAGAGAGAGAGAGAGAGAGGGAGGGAGAGGGAGAGGGAGAGAGAGAGAGAGAGAGAGAGAGAGGGAGGGAGAGGGAGAGGGAGAGAGAGAGAGAGAGAGAGAGAGAGGGAGGGAGAGGGAGAGGGAGAGAGAGAGAGAGAGAGAGAGAGAGGGAGGGAGAGGGAGAGGGAGAGAGAGAGAGAGAGAGAGAGAGAGGGAGGGAGAGGGAGAGGGAGAGAGAGAGAGAGAGAGAGAGAGAGGGAGGGAGAGGGAGAGGGAGAGAGATGGAGAGGGAGAGGGAGAGAGATGGAGAGAGAGAGAGAGAGAGAGAGAGAGCGAGCGAGAGCGAGAGAGAGAGAGAGAAGTTAAAGAACAGGTTTAATGCTGTAAAACTAGCTCGAAAGAGCTCTCCACATGCATTCAGCAGGATGGATTACACATAACGATCATGATTTAATGAGCAAACTCGTGAAATCCGAGAAAGAGAAGTGTTTTAATGTATTTCTGCATGGTAATGCGACGTTATTACTAAGCAAGAGAGCAGCAGTAACACCCATCAACAGCTGCGGATCTGACACGATGACTGAGGAACTTCAGCAGTTGTGGCGGAGCTGTGAGCTGGGGTCGGTCTGATGCTGGAATAATGCGGAGAAAGGGAGAAAAAGTAACTTTAGCTTGCAGCGCAGCGCAAAACCAATGGGCTTAAAACGGGTAAGTCGACTGTTCACTGTGAATTCTTTTGAGTTTGGGCTTGTTTGGAATGAGTCTGTGTATTTCTGCAACCCTTTTTTGTGTTTGTTTCTGTGTGTGATATCGCAATAGTAGCCGCGGCAGGTCAATTAGAATCTTTCTGAGTTCCAAAAACACGTTCTAGGTTGGAAATTCGCTATACAAAGCCTTTATTAGTGCGCTTCATTACTCCTTTACACTGTTCTCTGTTCCGTTTCTCCTTTGTCTTGGACGAGAGCAGTGTGATTTCATGCAAATGTTAATCAAGATGGAAAACGATAAAGTTACTTAATTAAGAATGAATATTAATGTCAAAGCTATGTTTAATAAAAACATGACTTCGTTTTACTAGCACACTGAAGAATCCATGTCATATCAGTCATGCAAAAACAATATGATTGATTTTAAATGACGAGGTCAACAAAAAATTGATGAAAACACTTACTGTGAGTTTTATGGCCACTTTATAATATGACTGTATTATATAAGGCTTACCAGATCATTTTTTTGTACAGTCAAGAAGATAGGATTGTCATATTTTCATAGATATGTTATTATGTCGATTATAAATGACTGGAAGGAATTGTAATAATTTAAAATCTGTAGATTAGTACAAAAAGAAACCCTGATTAGTTGATTTAAAGTGTGGACAAAGTGGAAAAAATGAACAGCAACATGTAAGTATGTGTGTGTTTGATACTGGAGAGAGTTGATCTGCATATCTGCTGAGACATGTGAAAAGACCACTGACCTCATAATTCATCCTATTAAATTGACATAAAAGCCAATTAACATGTTTATTTTAGTGGGTTGCATATTACAAGTCCTTTGAATGTTGGATGTTCATGAGCTGGTGAAACAGCAGTTTCCTGACACTCAGTCTAACTCATGACGTAAAGTAGACATTTGGTAAAATGGCTATTAACACCGTCTCTCTTAACGACCAAAACGCTTTTTAAAAAATGCTATGTTTGATATATGTCCAAAAAGAATAAAATGACTTCAAAGCCTGTTAGAGCTTACTGAATGGTGCTTGTTTGGTTCTGACTGTAGACCTGTGACTGACATGTACAAATGGGATTTCTATAGATGTACATGAATCACTCTTGCTGTGTTAAAGTGTTCAAAAATAACAAGAAGGATCAACTTTTTCTTGCCACTTCAAACTTCTCGACACTCCCTTGGTTTTTCTGTCCAACTTCATTTATTAAATTCATTCATAAATAATCCTGAGGAACTGACAGTTTTGTCTGTATTGCCTTGTCTTAATTAGAAATGAAGCAGACCCCAAACCAGGGGTCACACTTATCTAGCAGAGATTTATTTTAAATGAATCAATTTATAGTGTCTGAACTGACATGTTTTTGTGTGATGTGCACATCTTTTTTTCTTAATTTCTTCTCTGAATTTTACATATTACATATTCTGGCTTTGTTGCTTGCAACACCTTGGTAGTGGGTTCGATTCTAGGAGAATGCATGAACTGATAACAATTGCACCTTGAACCTTGAATGCAATGTAAGTATGACAAAAGTATGACAAAAGCATGAATGTAAATGCATATCAATTTAAAGTAGTAATTTTAATTGATTCTTATATGTAACAAGCATACTAAAATAAAAATATATTGAAATATGATACATTTGATTTTTATGTCAACATTAAAATAAATAAAAATACATCATTCTTTTTTGATTGAGAAACAATGCCACTCAGAGTGTTTTGTTGTGTTAAATTGTTAAGAGTGCTTGCAGTTTTATCATAAACTTTTTGAGGGTTGCCTAGCAGCACAACTCATCATCACTGCAGATATAAAACAAAAACTGAGGGACAGAAAAACAATGCACTTATTGTCTTCCCATCCGTTTTACAGCGCAGAAGCGTGATTAACGTCGGCATCTATTAAGAACTAGCACAAATAGCTCATATTGATTCTTGAGTGCCTTTATAAGTCTCTAACTCAAAGTGCCATTGCAGAAATCTCCCCATCAGCACTATTGAATTTCATCTTCCCCGGGAGACACACAGCGCCGCAGCTCTAATCATCAGCACCATCACTCATATACAGGCTCCTGTACGGCAGCCCAACATCTTGCTTTTCATCTCTCGGCGCTCCACAGGACCTGTCTGTCTGTCTGTCTGTCTGTCTGTGCTGGAGAGTGTGTGTGGCTTGTGCTTTCATATGTCTGTACAGAGACCTCCAGCCTCCTGCTGTGATGAAGTTCACAAATAGGAAATCAATGTTACAGGCAACTTGGAATTGATCTGTGCTGATTGCTAATAGTGATGACAGTCTCCACGGTCTTTTACCATCGCTTCTATAGATCTCAATACAGACCCACAGGACTAAAGGAATAGAGTGGATTCTCAGTGATTGGGAACGTAATTAATAGAGCAAACAGTTGTGGCAAAAAGAAAAGTAAGAAAGAAAGAGCTAGCAGACACATCTGCCCACACTGTCTCTTACACTCTTTGCCTTTAGGGAAATTCATTGTGCATGTTTACAGTATGTCTGCATGTTCGCATTATATACGAGAATACATCTGTATATATACTGTATAAATGTATATAGGACCTATATATATACTACTGCACTGTAAAAAAAATCAGTCAAAAATTACAGTAAAAAACAGCAGTGGTTGCCAGAACATTACTATAGCAAGGTTTTTAGGTTTTATGGACTGAACATAAAACATAAATCACTTTCAAAAACTGTAAATTTAACAGTATTTTACTATAAAATTACATTAAATGTCCCACTCGATCTAGCTTTTGACCATATATAGTAAGGGAACTTAACATGAACTAATTAAAAGACTTTTACTGTAGAATTTGTATAGTGTTTTACCATGAAAATTATGACAACTTTTGTTGTGTTAAAAAGTTTTTCTTTTCAAAGAAGTCTATTCTGCTCAGCAGTACTGCATTTAGTTGTCCAAAATACAGCAAAAACAGTAATATTGTGAAATATTATTACAATTTAAGATAACTGTTTTCTATTTGAATATATTTTAAAATGTAGCCTAATTTATTCCCGTAATGCAAAGCTAAATTTATATATAATTTCTCCAGTTTTCAGTGTCTGTTCTTCAGTGCTGCTCAAGAAACATTTCTTATAATTAATGTTGAAAGCAGTTGTGCTGCTTCATATTTTTGTGATATATTTGTATGAGCATTTATTTGAAATAGAAATAACATTATAAATGTCTTTACTGTCAGTTTTGATCAATTTAATGCATCCATATTTTTATTTCTGTAATATTGTGTATTTATACTTTTCAGTATAAATATACAATAATCTATCAATGACTTGAAGACATAATAAAAAGCCAGTCTGTCTGGAGAGAGAAAGACTTGCTTTAAATTCAGAAGAGTGTGGAGACATGACTGTGTGATCCTCAAAGGCCACTGCAGTTTGAGCACTTCCCTTGAGCACTAGCTGGCATAAAGAAGTGAACACTCTTTCAGATATTCTCTGTGTTTTTTACCTCTCTGTTACCCCCCAAAAATCCACAGACCTCACTTTAATAAAGCAGCTGCCTCTGCACTTCCATCAGGACCAGAACAACAGCACTTCTTATACAGTTATACAGTTTTGTATGGACTTAACTTTACAAGTTACTTTGAAATATTACAGTAATGTAATACAGTAATTACTCTCATCTTTGGACAAGAGAAAAGTCTTTCTCATTTGCATTTTTAAAAACGCCTTGGCACCTACTTTAACTGGCACATTATGTGCAGTTTGAGCTCATATGATGCAGTATGAGCTTCATGCAGGAAATACTGGGTCATATATTGACTCATGGATCGAGTGGTAACACATGGCATCTTTCTGTTCGACAGTGATTCATTTGGATTGTCAGAGGCCCCAGGGCTCAAACAACATGCTAAGAAATAAAATGAAAGCCCAGACGAGACAGAAGCTGAATCATGTATAATACTCAAAAGTTTCTATAATTGCTGCTTACATCATAAGTGTAGAGAAGTCATGCTAAAAGAGATTGAATTTATAATATAGGAATGGGAGGAAAATTTAGGATAGAAATATTTGATTTGATTTGGGTGAACTTTAAAATTCTGTCTGCTGCTATTTGAAGTTTATTAACATCCACCATGATAGCACCAGTTTTCTATGGAAGCATATAGGTAGCGAAATTCAATTTAAAATGCAATATGCAAAATGGCAATGCAATATGCAAAATGGCATTGTATTTCTGTATTTAAATTTACATTTTCCATTACACCATACGAGCAAAGTTTGTTGCAAAAGGAAAATGAAAATGAAATTCTATAATTTACATTTGCCATTTCCAACAGTAGTCTTAATATGTAAATTGCGTGCACATTTGAACGCTTTATAAGTTGCGAAATTAAAATGAAAATGTATAACACAAATTGATTTGATATGTGTAACATGTCCAAGCAGAAATGGTAGCATAATGATCATTTAAATGCTATTTGTCCTAAATGCATTTAGACTAACAGTTAGAACACTTAGGATTGCATTTTCATCATGACGCCGTGGGATATTTGTAGCAAAATTCAGTGCGGCTTTGAAAATGCATTCCGAGCTGACCACGCCCACCCTCCGTCAATCATTGCTTCAAGGCGGGGATTGGCGGAAGCGTGTTACGTTTGGATCGTTCGAAACATGGTGGCTGGAGATCTGATAAGATCGTTGAATTCACTGGCAGATGAAGTGGAGCGTGAATAATAACAGTCATTCAGGACTTCCGTTCAAAAACTCGGGAAGTCTTAATTAATTTCAAACAATTTTTTGTATAATTAATTAATTTAAATGAATGTTTCTAATAGACACATTTATAACAGAACCTCAAGTAAACTACATGTTATATTGTTTAGTCATATACAGGTGGGAGCTTTTTCAATTTATTACTCAGAACGACTTATTAGCCTACAACACCTTTAAAGACTTATTCAGGGAAGTACAGCAGGATGCAGGAAGTGGTTGAGTATTA